CAGACTCAGGTAGGTGACGTTTCTGACTTCAGAATAAGTTGAAAGGAAAGGTTGAACACAACCGTCAAATCAGTTTATAACTATAAGCCAAAAATGATTTTATAAAAATAACATGCATCTCAAATTTACATGTACGTGGATCACACACTGTATAAACCTCTTAATTAAGGAACGGCAATATTTCCAATGTTGAATGTTTACATAATTAAAGTTTTATTTCTTCATTATCTGTACTATGTTTGAATATTGATATATCAAAAAGAAGTTGATGAATTTATTTGAAATCGGCCAATTCAAAACACAAAAGAAAATATTAATATGAATATTAGTTGCACTTACTGTTCTTTGATAATCATTGTTTTCAGAGTAAAGGTAATATATTTTTTTAAAAAAAGGAATAATATCCTGATGAATTTATTTGAAAATGATCCACTCAAACACAAAAGCAAATAATTACACAACGTGCACAATTTTTATACGCCCGCATTTTCATGTGGACGTATATTGTCGTCGCCCCTGTTCGTCCGGACATCCGTCCGTCCGTCCACAATTTGTTTGTGGACTCTCTACAGGTCACAATTCTTGTCCGATTTTGACGAAACTTGAAATATAGCTTTATCCCCAAAAAATCTCGGCTGCTTTCGATATTGGCATGTATCGGATCGAAACTTCATGGATTATGGCCCCTGTTTGTACGAAAAATCACGTTTTTAGCTTGTGGACCCTATAGAGGTCACAATTTTTATTTGATTTTGTTGAAACTTGAAATGTAAGTTTATAACCCAAAGATCTCAGTTCCTTTCGATATTCGCGCATATCAGACTGTAACTTCCTGAATTATGGCCCCTGTTTGTACGAAAAATCCCGTTTTTAGCTTGTGGACCCTATAGAAGTCATAATTTTTATCCGATTTAAAAAAAACATATTTTTATATCACCGTTACACCCTAAGGACGACCGAGTTCGAATTTCGTGAAAATCGGCCCAAAATTGACAGACAAAATGGCCGCCGTTCGTTCTCAAATAGCGTACAAATATGGTATATCAAGGTTGTGGACCCTATAGAGGTCACAATTTTTATCCGATTTTGTTGAAACTTGAAATGTAAGTTTATAACCCAAAGATCTCGGTTCCTTTCGATATTCACGCATATCGGACTGTAACTTCCTGAATTATGGCCCCTGATTGTACGAAAAATCGCGTTTTTAGCTTGTGTACCCTGTAGAAGTCATAATTTTTATCCAATTTAAAAACCCGTATTATTATATCACCGTTACACCCTAAGGAAGACAGAGTTCGAATTTCGTGAAAATCGGCCCAAAATTGACAGACAAAATGGCCGCCGTTCGTTCTCAAATAGCGTAAAAATATGGTATATCAAGGTTGTGGACCCTATAGAGGTCACAATTTCAATCCTATTTTGATGAAACTTGAAATGTAAGTTTATAACCCAAAGATCTCGGTTCATTTCGATATTCGCTCATATCGGAATGTTACTTCCTGAATTATGGCCCCTGATTGTACGAAAAATCGCGATTTTAGCTTGTGGACCCTATAGAGGTCACAATTTTTATCCGATTTTGTTGAAACTTAAAATGTAAGTTTATAACCCAAAGATCTTGGTTCCTTTCGATATTCGCGCATATCGGACCGTAACTTCCTGAATTATGGTCCCTGATTGTATGAAAAATTGCGTTTTTAGCTTGTGGACCCGATAGAGATCATAATTTTTATCCGATTTAAAAAACCGTATTATTATATCACCGTTACACCCTACGGACGACTGAGTTCGAATTTCGTGAAAATCGGCCCAAAATTGACAGACAAAATGGCCGCCGTTCGTTCTCAAATAGCGTAACAATATGGTATATCAAGGTTGTGGACTGTAAAGAGGTCACAATTTTTATCCGATTTTGTTGAAACTTGAAATGTAAGTTTATAACCCAAAGATCTTGGTTCCTTTCGATATTTGCACATATTGGATCATAACTTCCTGAATTATGGCCCTTGATTGTACGAAAAAATCACTTCTTTTTTTGAGCTTGTTCTCTGTCCATCTCTTGCAAAATGTGGGCGTATCTTGCATGGCAACCGCTTGTTACAAATCCCTATAGTTTTTTTTAAGGATAATCCGTAAGCTGCACTTTGACATGCATTTCTCAACAAGCTTGTCACAGAAGTCAGTACCAATTGATAAACTAGTGCGTACAAAGAAAAGTCTTTTCGGAAAATATCAGAAATGGCAACGATCAAAGCGGGATAATTAAAGCTGATTAACCAATAATCCTGATGTTATTGTAATACATGTATGTGTGCAAAGATATATTATTAACGCTTTCGGTGAGTTATTGTCAAGTTCAATGCAGTTCTTTGGTGGATGGGGAAACATGCGAGTTGTCAATCAGCAGTGTTTTCATTTTTTAATCTTTTATTAACGCTTTCGCTGAATTACTGTCAAGTTCAATAGTCGCCAATTAAACAAAACAAAAGACAGCTAGCAGTGTTAATCTTTTATTAAAAGTCTCAACAATCGCTGATTAATTAAATATCAAGTTCAATAGTCGCCAATTGAATAAAAGAAATGAAATGAAATGGGGTTTAACGTCCTACTGTTCTGCTCCGAACTGGGCTAATGAAGACACAACTAGAGTAGAAATTAGTTTTTCATTGTTTTTGTCCTTTCTTACTGTTACCTGGTTTGTCTCAATTAATAATGATGTATAAACATCATTTTAACAATGCAAATTTATTTTGTGTTTTATAATGGTTTATACATGTATGTATATGGAGGCACCAAATTCTTTAAAGTACCTAGGGTCTCTATGGGTCTTAATCCGGCGCTGATTGCAATAAATAAAGACAATTAACAATGTTATATTTCTTTATTATTCTTAATAAACTGTCATCAGCATCACCTAAAACGAAAAAACCCCAGTTATTATTCATGTACTAGCAGGATACCCGGCTTCGCCTGGGTCCAAATTTGCCAGAGACCTAATTTGCTGAGGGTCCAAATTCGCCCAGAGCCCAAAATCGATGGCCTAAAACATTCATGGGGGTCGTGCTGGTTAATTTGATACCACAGTGGAGTGCGACGATGGCATGTTATTCGCTCGGGGGGTGGGGGGGCAGGCCCAGTTTGCCCTAAAACATTCATGGGGTCATGCTGGTTAATTTGATACTACATATGTGGAGGTGGATCGTGGCAACGAAGCGGGATTGGCGAACATACACTCATGCGCCAGACGAGTCCTAAATATCGTTAAAGTGAGTCCAAAACGTTACGTGTGTTGAGTCCGAAACGCTGTGTGTGTAGAGTCTGAACGTTGTGTGTGTTGAGTGCGAAACGTGTGTGTTGAGTCCGAAATGTTGTTTGTGTTGAGTCCGAAAGGTCATGCTACGATAAAACTTGGTGTATCAATTCATTACATGAATACCTTGACCGAGTTCAATAATGAGCTTTAGTGCTTTAAAATTTGGAGCATGATTATAACTTTGATTATATTTCTAATGGAGTGAGAGTGATGAAAGTTGATATATAGTTTCATTATATCAATAGGGGGTCACGGTGACTAAGTGGGTAAGATGCTGGATCGGGTGTTCAATCCCTGTATTGGGTGAGAATATTCATCCAGATTTTCCAGCATGGTTCCCTCTTGTCAGTGATGCAGTACGGAGGACCTGACAAGGACAGCTGTCTAGTCGTTCGGATGTGACAAAAAAATGAGGTCCTGTGTACACATTGGCGTACATGTAAAAGATCCCCTGACAGTTGGAATTCGATATAGGCCGTAGTGCCGCTGTCCGGGCAAAATTTCCCTGTATGGTGTATGCCTGTCTTCGTTAGCCCAGTTCGGAGCAAAACAGTAGGAGGTTAAAACCCTTTTCATTTCATTTTATCAATATCTTAAGCATTTACTGTTCTGGTTAAGCTGGTTGATGAGTAATTTTCTTTCTAAAAGATAAATGTGCAAGTATTAATGAGTCATTTATTTCTTTACTGATTAAATCTGGGGACATCAGCCTCAGTTTTGAATGGTTTCCTGTAAAAAATGAATAAGCTTAATTAAAGGATCTTAAAACATCTGCATCATAGCGATGGATTGTGAGATCAATCTCAACATTTGAATGCAATCATAATTTGAACACAATCAAATAATGGCAAACTGAAAGTATTTGCAGTGACAGTTAAAGTTCTTCAAGGTGATGATGTCTGACTGAATGAAGCAAAGCTTTTATTCATAATTTAAATGTTTGGTGTTTGAAATATCCGGCTAAGAAAATTAAGATACATGTCCCTTGAACAACGGTTTTCATAACTAAACAAGTTCGAATGTTTTGGGGTTTTTTCATGAGGATAAAATATCTGATTGCTCATTCTTTGAAATTAAAATTCCAACCCTTAGGAAAATTAAAAGCTGAATTATATACGTGTAATACTCATACTGTACCTAAAATTATAGAAGATTTCAGTAACTTGTATTTTTAGCTTACTCTTCTTACTCAAATATAAATAAATGTCAGAGAGATTCTATTGGTCCATGTGCCATCTGTACTAACTGAACACTCAGTTTAGTCACTGACTACTGACAACAACAGTCTATGTTGCATTGGATTCAAATATTTAGTAGGATTTTACTATTGAAATGTTTAATATTTGAAGGATATGATAAAATCGCGGGGTAATTTTTTTTTCTTTAAAGTATTATGATCATATTACATAATTGATATAAAACTGACTACAGGGTTTCAGTTACGGTACACTGGGATTTTGTCTTATTGTTGATATGGAAAAGATTAGTTTTCGGTTTCATCTTTTAAAAATTAGTATTTTTTAAAACTTTGTGGTCATAATTGAGAGAGAGACTTGAACACAAAATTTTACAAAAGATCAGTTTTTGTTTAAATTTATTTCTTTTTGGGTACAGTAATGGTTACAGGCCAGTACTGGTAAATTATTCTCATGGAAGTTATGTTGTGAATATTTGTATTTTTTCACAGAGGAGTTTGTAGCTCACGGTGCAAATGTACAATGTCTTGGTTTGGGTCACAAGTCAAGCAGGGTGATGGTAACAGGAGGAGAGGACAGAAAGGTCAATCTATGGGCAGTTGGCAAACCCCATTGTATTATGGTAAGTGTAAAAAATAGATTATATGAAGTCTACATTTAGGGAGACTGTTTTTGATGGTATCTGTATTTACTGATATAATCCATTTCAGCATAGGCGTACGGGGAAATTTTTGACTGGGGGGGGGGGGGTGCGGTGGTGGTTGGTGCCCAAAAAATGTAGTTAGGATCTTAGTATGTTACATAATAATAATAAATTCGCTGTTAAATTGGGCACATTCAAGAACCCCCCCAGCTCGTACGCCTATGCATTTCAGTATTCTAATGTGTTATGAATAAATGTATTGATTTTAATAACGGCATTGTAAAGCCTGAAAATATCTGCATTTTATATGTGCAAGCTATCCACATGTTGCATTCATAATTATTGATAGAAGTTAAAAAGAAGAATATGTATCAAACCCTGCAGTTTAATATTATATTCATTATTCATCTCTACTGAAATAAAAGCTTTCCTTTTCTTTTTAAAAATAATTGTTATTTACATAGTAATCATTCATTGCCTCAAAACATTAATGTCACTACTTCTACCTAAAGACTTTTTGTAACTTTCTTGTTAAACTTTTAAATTATTCAAGGTATGCAACTCACTATCGAAACATGTACAATAACTGCACTACCTACTGTAACTATTTGTTGACAAGTATTTTATAGGTTACCAACATGTAGTCTGTAGTATATATGTAGTCTGTAGTATATATGTAACTGCTAAAAATAATTAGACAGACTTTTAGTAAACAGTAGATTTGAATTTGAAAAGTTATTCACACCCGATATTTATTTATACATCATGTAGCAGAATTCTATTCTGCAAAGTTTAATATTCAAGTCAAAAAGTATAATTGTACCAGTAATATTTAATTTATTTATCTGACACCCAGTTATCTATTATTTTAATTTACACATTTATTAAGTTCATACATTTATATAAATAACCCAGGGTGTTCTTTCCCTTTTATTAGACGCTGTGTTAATGGGTTTATTTCATTAAAGATTTTTCCAATTTCAAAGAAAAAGACCATAACAGTTATTTGGTTTCATTCATAAGACAATATTAATGGCTGTATTTGTGCCAAATAAGTCAAAAACAATTTGGCAAATTTTTGCAAGGAAAACACAATGTGCGTGTATTTTGACCAGTGACCTCATCAGTAATAATAAAAACGAATCTCATCATCAACCGATTCCTGTTAAATCTCATTATTTTTGGTACCAGTATAGAATGTTGAATAAGGAAGAAAAATGTAGTATTTTTTTCTTATTTTAAAAATTAATATCAAATAAAAGCCATATATTAAGATATTTTCGTGATTTTGATATATTGGGAATACTAAGATGTTATTTATATTCTAAATGTCACTTAGCACTAATACATCATGCTTGTTGATTAATGCGACTTTATAAATTGTTTGCCTCTTTTATTTGATATGCTTATGTTGCCTGTATTTGAATGAGTGTAAAGAAATTATGAACTGATTCTTTTAGTAGTTGTACCTTCGCAGAACTGAATGAGTGCCTTGAATGTCAGATTTGTGAAGTAGACTTTAAAAGGTTACATTGACACCGTCAAGTGTGTTGACACATTTAAGAATGACCTTTGAAATCTACAGACTTAAAGAAGTAATCCGTGTACATAGTCTTGTTGTTGTTAAATGTTTATAAACAAATTTATCCTTGTGTAGTATTGAATACATTTTCAAAGATTATCATTTGACAATTATTTGCTCAACTTTACAAAGCTTTTTAGTTAACTGATGGAATTGCAAAGAATTTAGTCTTGTCACAGATCTTCCAGCCCCAATCACATATTTGGTGTTAGTAGAATCGTGATCTAATCTAATGTTTTGGCTCTGGTGATTTGGTCAAGACAGTATTATATTCCTTTGACACATGACTTCACCCAAAATTCTTGTGTTTGCCCCATTGACACCTTTCTTGTGATTTAGAGAATTCAATCCAGAATATTCAGTCGAGTATCCCCCTTATTTCAGACAACCCGATAATTATTTAATTGCCTTAAGATTTATAAGAAACAAGAGTAGACACAGAGTATGCCAAAGAATTAAAATGACTACACCTCTTTGATTTGGGCCAAAAATAAAATTGTCATTTTCATTGAATTTTTTTTATGTTTGTTCTATGGGAATACAATCTGTCTTTGTTGGAAATCTTACATCTGTAGATAAAACTAGTTAAAATATAACTGATTATTGTATTATGTATTTACTAAAATTATTAAACAAGCTGGCTTTTCAAATCAAAAATTTAAAGTAGCTAAGTCTCTAACTCAATATCATCCAAAATCTTTGATATTGAAAACACGATTTATTTGTCGGTTTAAATCAACATTGATGCTGTGATCTTACCGGGAAAAGATGGCCTTCTGATATCCAATATTTAAGACAAAATAAACATTTTACATTGGTACACGAATCGTGTACCATAATGCGTTTCAGCGCTATTTTTTAATAAGGGACATGAAAAATGAGGCTAGGCATATTCCACGAGTCATGTCAAACGGTGATGCTATATTCTTATCTGGAGAGCAAGCCCAATAAATAATATCAACATAGACTGGAATAACCAGACGCTAGAGATTGAAATTCGATTGAGAATACTGGCATATTTCGCCGAACCTAATTGATTAAAAATTACAGTAAAAACAGAAACTTTTGAATGTAAATCAATTTATATACATTCATATTACATTATTGTATGCGTTGCGACCCATTTGTGTCAATTTCTAGGTCCCAAATATTAGCAACTTAGCTCCTTTAATCTAATAGTGCTTGCAATATTACCAATTGAAATAATAGAACAGATTAAGCTATTTGAATACTTTATTTTAATATTTTATATATTAAATACATGTCATGGTGTTAAAATCAAATATACTTTAGTAATGTACATATACCTACAACAATGCCATTTATAATTAAATACATGTACTACGTATTGTTAAATAATCTTGTTAGTAACCACTGTATACACATGAGTCATTTGTGTGTTTCCAGATATTTCCTCTACCTGTATATATACTAGGTTACACCTACCCTACAGTCTTTATCACACCCAAATAATTACTGTTATAAACTGTTATTGTCAACTACATAATCATGATAACTGATAAATTAGTTTAAAGCTTACCTCATGTATGAAAAATACACACATGGTATTCTTGGAAGATTTTACAAATTTTGTAATATAAAACACCTTTTTATACGCCCACATGGAAATGTTGTCGTATATTGCCGTCGCCCCGTCCGTCCGTCCACAATTTCTTGTGAACACTCTACAGACTACATTTATCATCTGATTGTTTTGAAATTGATCTATGTTGTTTGCATTAGTGGGATGAAGAAGTCTTTTTAATTTCAATAACTTCTGTTAATTTCTTCTGGAGTTATGGCCCTTGTTTTACTTTGTTGCACCTTGTGAGTTACGACAAAAGTTAAAAATTGATCTGTATGAAATTTATATGCATCCTTTAAATTAGTAAAACAAAGAATCCTATTGAATTTCAGCAATTTCTGTTAATTACATCTAGAGTTATGGCCCTTGTTTCACTTTGTTGAATCTTGTGAACGCTCTAACGACAAAAGTAAACATCCGATCTTTGTGAAATTTATATGCAATATTTAAGTTAGTGAAACGAAGAAGCCTATTGAATTTCGGTAATTTCCGTTTATATGTGCCATTTAAGTTAGTAAAAAGTACAATCCGATTGAATTTCAGCAATTTCCATTTAATACTATGTCTAGAATTATGGCACTTTTCACTTTATTGAACCTTGTGAACGCTCCAACGCTGAAAGTTATCATCGATCTTTGTGAAATTTATATGCATTATTTTTAAAAATTGGTGAAATCACGAAGCCTATTGAATTTCAGCAATTTACAATAATTACATGTACTTCTAGAGTTATGACCCTTGTTTCACTTTGTTAAACCTTGTTAATGCTCGATTGATGAAAGTTATCATTTATATGCATCATTTAAATTTGTGAAACCGGTCTATTGAATTTCAGCAATTTCTGTCAATAATTTCAGAGTTATGGCAATTGTGAACCTTGTGGAAGTTTGAATGACAAAAGTGATCATGTGATCTGTATGAAATTTATATACATTATTTAAATTAGTAAAACGAAAAAGCCTGTCAAATTTCAACAATTTCTGTAGATTATTTCCAGAGTTGAGACCCTTGTTTCAGTTTGTAGAACCTTGTAAACCCTCAAATGACAAAATTTATAATCTGATCTGTATGGAACTGTCTTGTAAAGGCCCCCAATTACCTACAAAGGAATAAATATGCGACAACCCTTGTTGACCGCTTGGGCGATTTAGCTGCTGTAGGCGTATTTTTCGTTGCCTGGCAACCTATCTTAAATTTATACTACAAAAATGGAATCATTATAGCCCTAATGCGTAGTGTGGACACTTTTTAATATCTAGGCAATACAATTGTTTCTTATGCCACTTAAAAATACATTATGTAAGAGCTAAATCTGCCTATTGCAGGTCTTTCGTTTGGCCTCAAATGCTATATAAACTATTAATTTGACATATATTCACATGCCAACCCATAATCAACTCTCAAGTCAATAAAACTCCATGTCAGCATCTTGGCATGGTGAATTTCTTTATCTTGCAGGTTTCAATGCCACAAATTAAAGCTAGATATTTAAAAAGTAACTGTTACTACATGTAGGTAATGTAAGTAGTCACTGAATAAACCCTTAACAGAACACCGAAAGTGCAGATAAACTGAATAATAATTTATTCTTCCTGCACAAACCGCAATTCAAAATTACTGATGACGTTTGACATGCATGTTATCAAGACCTTGATTCAAGTTTTACGGTAATGATTTAGTACTTTAATAATATACATGTACACTATATATTTTATGTTTCTACAGACATTGACTGGCCATACCACAACAGTTGAAGCGGTTAGATTTGGAAATGCTGAAGAAATGGTTGTTGCTGGTTCTCAGTCTGGTGCTTTAAAAGTATGGGATTTGGAACAAGCCAAAAGTAATCATTCTTTTTCATCATTTTCAGATAAGCTTGATATTAAGTATTTATTTTACAAAAACCTTACATCTCACAAATTGTGTAATACAAGTGGTTGCCATGCATGATAAGTCTACATTTTGCATGAGATGAAAAGAGAACAATCTAAAAAAAAAAGTGATTTTTCATTAAAAATCAAAATATCTCCAAGCTCTAGTCACAGCCTAGTTTTTGTGATATCCATGATTTTATTTTAATCAGCCTTTAAAAACAAACAGAAATTCGAAATTAAATTAAAACTAATCATTTCATCATATGATTTATATATTGAACATGGTTGTCTGCAATTGACACACAATCTTTTCTGAAGGTAAAATATACCTCGAAATGAAATATAGTACAGTTACATGTGTAATTACCTTTATTGGGAAAGTGATATATTTCTTTCATGTTAACTAATGTTGATTGATTTCTGTATTGTAGTAATGAGAACATTAACTGGACATACAGCAGGAATTCGTGCTCTAGATTTTCACCCGTTTGCTGAATTTGTTGGATCAGGATCTATGGATTCTCACATAAAGGTTTGATTTTATTTTCAAACTGTGAAGACGATTATGGTAAAGAAGCAGGGACATATTTTACAAAGTATCTGTTGATACAAATGGGTTTCAGATTTCTAAATTTAACTCAAGAACATAACAGTCTAGCTACATGTAGTTACCGTTTCTGAAAGTTTCAGCTCAAAATATGTAGTCATTTCAAAATGATCCCAGAAATTGCTCCACTCAAATAAGAATTTGGACATTATCAATATGCCATAAGCCAATCAAAATATGATAGCAAGCTTATAGCAGATGTTATCCAATTTTATTCAATTATAAGACCAAAATTTCTATTAGTCTGGATTCTAGTATGCAATTACAGAGTAAGTAGTTAATAATCTTAGGACAAAACCGATATTTTGTTCACATAAGGATAGATAACAAAACTAAAAACAGAATTACTTGCTTTTCTGTTTTCAAAGCATACATGTACAGTACTTACGTGCAAAATTAAATGGCCCCAAAAGCATCAATAATATGATGTGGTCATTTTATATGATCAAAATTCTTAATTGGACTGATCAAAAACCATCAAACTATCATGAAATATATAATTTTCAATATTTTGTGGTATAATATAATTGTCTTAATTTTTTTTGTTATAGTTATGGGATATTAGAAGAAAGGGCTGTATAAAAACATACAAGGTAAGAGCACTGTGTGGTTGTCATGCAAGTGGAAAGAGTGAGGGTTCTGGGTTCTGTCACTTTCTGAAAGCCAACTTATGAAATTATATGTGATCAGTCATAATATTAGTATTGCCTTTAGAAATCACCTTAAAACAGAAAATAATTCAAATTACAAGTATATTTGTTGATCTATCTAGCTGATAAAGCACTGTCACAATCAATGAAATGAAATGGGGTTTAACAACACAATCAATGAAATTCTCCTAAGTTACATTGAAATAAAAATTACTATATGTTTGTCTCAAAAAGTATTGTAGAAACAGTATGAATCTAGAAATAATTACTCATATATATGAAAAGAACTCATATAAATATAATAAAATACAATTTGTCAAGTGTTTTTCTAGAAATAATACCGGTACAATTTTATATTTGTTGCATGAAAAAGATCTACTATTAATTAAGAATAATGTGAATCTACTAGTATGGCCTTTTAGGAAGATTACATGTTTCACACAATTTGTTTTTTGGAATGCCATCTGGTTTACTTTGACCCTGTTTACCTTTAACAGATGTTGTTTTTTCTGACAACTTATCAACTGATGACATATCATCAACATGTACATCTTCAGTATATAATACTTCTACCCATAAATTCCTCTCAGAGGTTGTATAATAAAATCCCCGATCATAATACAAGAATTTATTATTGTTAATATCAAGTTCGATAAGTCTAGGTTTACAGTAGACATCTTCTACACTACCAGGCTTGGTTAATACCAAGGTTACATAATGTGCTTTTTGATTACAATAAAAATCAGCAAAATACAGATTTAGTCCTGGTAGTAGATGTTCAGGTGGAATCAAGATTCGATAATCACCAAAAAAGCTCCATGTCTGTGGCTGTCCGGTATCTTTGTCCATTGAAGCACTGAAGAATAACCCTTTAATATTATGGTTAATACTAGAGGCTTGGTCTCCATTGTTGTCTTTGTCATATTTGGTCATAATTCCTGTTTCTTTAACTGCTATTATAGTAGGGTGGGAACTTGGTTTGTTACGATATAAGTAAGGAATTGGCATGGTACCTGAATACCTTATAAATGACAGTGCCATATCATGGAATCGGTGAACATTATCTTTTGAATTATCTGCAAAGATGAATAAATTGATCTCATACGTTCATATTTTCATTTACACAATTTCTATATAAGGTTGCCGTTAAAAATTGGGTTCAAATTACAGTAGAATCTGCACGAGCAGCCACTCCCATTCAGCGACATCTAATTGTAAGCGGTTACGATAAATTCCCCCCGTAAAAATTCCATTGTTTCATCTCTTTAATGAACGGCCACTCCTCTAACGCCGCCAGCGTTAGTATCTATTTTCCATTTCCACTTTGTTGCTAAACAGAAGTTTTAGCGCCTCCTATATTACATACAGAGTTACACCCCCTGAAAATTGGTGACAAATTCAGCGATCTTCTTTAAGACATGTGATTTTTGATAAAATAAAATTAATTCATGGATTTTCTTCACAAAAATGGATAAATAATATCGAATACATCACAGTGGTTTGTCAGTAGTGTCAGTGTTGGTACAAAATGACACTTTTACAGAAGATATATCAGAGATTTCTGTCAAATAATTTTCGTCCAAAGCAAGTTTCAGCGACGGCCAAATTTACTGATGCAATTATTGATGTTTGCTCCCAATGCATCCAAGCATAAAATTTACTTGATGTCAGTACTAACAAACATTCAGATTTTATTAAGCGGTCACTCCCGTTAAGCAGCCAGTTATGAAAATTCCCTTGAGTGGCTGCTTAATACAGATTCTACTGTACTTTATTCTGGGCAAAGTTATGACTGTTTGAAGTTGAAGTGTGATCTTTTATTATCATAGTAACGGTACATGACAATTGAGCCTAAATTATTATTATTCATATTTATTGTTAAATTTTAAAATCTTGCGGGTGTTGAAATATCGGCCATCAGATGCTCTAGAGAGATGACTATAGGCTTGTCATGTGAATAAATGTCTAAATAATAATTTACATAACATTTGAAGCTAAAAGAAAGACCTGCAGATTTAACTCTTCATAAGGCATCTTTATTAATGCAATTTAGGAAATAAAAATCAGGTATAGGTATTTTAGCCTGGAATAAAGTTATTTTATACTTACAAGTAATGAACTGTGATTGGTCAGAAGTTTTAGTCACATGATATTTATTACCAGACAGAGATAGTCTATAAATCTTGTAATTAACAGCCTCTCTAAATGGTAGATTTACACATGGTATTTCATTGGTATAGGTGGTTGTCAACTCAATATATTCATTGTAGCTTGATACATCATTAGTAGAACTTGTTGTTTGTATTATCTGTATGTAATGATATTCAGTATTTATTGGTAGTGGTACATCTTCACATTTAAATATAATACTGGATTTATTGGTCATTTCATCGACTCTTTGATCAACGTTGAATTTCAATCCATCAGTCTACAAAAAGTAGTGAATAATTGTATAATTTTATAAAGATTAAATCACACAATGGAAAAATGGACAGGACAGAGTTCTCCAAATGTAGTTTTTTAAAAATTGCTTAGAGGGATTTGTTGACATTGATTTTAAAGAAAAAATGTGACTTTGCTAATTAGGAGGCCTGACAGACCCTGGTCTATTTCCATTGTGTGATTTATTTTTTATTGTTTGTAATTCACTACTCATCCTTCTCTCATCTTCAAGCACATTTATTCACCCTTATTATTCACTACAAATAAAAAACATACTGTTATAAAATGAGGCCAATTTAATGAACTCTTTCTTATTCTTTTGACATAAGGTACAAACAAGGTACAGATTCAAGCTTTGCCAGACGCAATCTTTCTGGTGCCTACCTTTTGGTCTAACACACGTGTGTCTATTTGCATAATTCTTATCAATATTTATAACATGTCCATCACAAGGTCAAAATGTCAGGTACTAGATAATTACAACTAAAATCATTATTTTTATGCCTTTGGAGTGTGTTGAGTTGAGATATACGACTGGCTTAAGATTCCTTCAGTGTGTGAAATAAATAAAAATCTTGAATTATACTTACCGCTACAGATGGAAATCTGCTATGTTTGTTGTGAGTGCTGTGACTTTCTAATCTCATATCATGTTCTGGACTGTTCATTATATTAATAATTGTATTGCTTAAAATAACTTTTGGTTCATTTATTTTAAGACCATATATAGTAATTCTGAGGTCTGTACCAGGAGTTTGCTGGTTTTGATCGATGTGCCACGAATCTGTACAATTTAGAAAGTAGAAATCTGTTTCGTTGTTGTCAGTATTTTCAACAGCACATATTATTCTGTTAATTTGGTCACAGCTGTATGTTATTTTAATTTCTGTTGAACCAATGTACAAACTTTTCTGTAAAAGTAAAAGTGAAAACCTTGTTTCAAACATAGAATGTGAGAATGCCCTGAATATTTTTTTTTAAAATAGTGAATAGCAGGCTGGGGTGTCTTTTATTAAAGATATTTCTCAACGATGTTTATTTCTTCTTGGAAAGTTATGTCAAACGACCCATGATGTTTTTTAAAGATATATTCTTTCACGTAAATATAAAACTACTAGAAGAATGCCCGGCTTCGCTCGGGGGTCATAACTCCGAAACCGGAAGTGGTAGACTAACGCCACCTGGCCTATGTTACTCCCAGGTCTGAGCTATCCCTGTACCCCAAATTTCAGACTCGGTTGAGACCTAGTGTAGCCGCCAATCCCGAACAGACAGACAGACAGACAGACAAATGACAGTCACAAAAATTAGTATAGAAGATAGACCTACAATGGGTCAACACATGTCTGTATGTAGTAAGTAGAGTAACTATAAAGTAATATGGATGCCAGATTTAATATGACTGTTTATAACAGTTATTTAATTACATACAACAAATAAGAATAGTTCCCCATCGAAAAGAATATAATAGGGAATTATGATATGAAAATGGGTAACAAATGGACGACTCAAATATTTTTTTGATGAACAAGGATATAATAAATGTTTTACTGAATTATACTATAGTGACTTACTTGTTCCTCAACCATTTTGACTTGTGCTGTTGTTGATCTTTTTTTCTAACACCAACAAATTAATATTTTCGTCCCAAACCTTATTAAGATTTATAATCTATGCAATGATGACATATAAAACTTGTCCCATTTGTCCTGTCTAATTACAGTTATTTCCATTGTTATGTTGTCATGAAGATATATACAATTGTATTTAATAGAATTCAAAGTGAAAGTAAAAGTGTATAAATTAAAACATGGCCATCAGGTACAAAGAGACTTTTACAATGCATTGTAGAACTGAAAATTCTATGTGAACTTTCTCCTGAAATGATAAGTGGTGTGAGGTGTTCTAGAAAGGTTATAACTAATTGGGTACACCGTCTCCAACCCAATCCACATTAGACAAATAAGGGTTATTCCATGTCAAGTGGACCAAATTTCGGAAAGTTGGGAACATGACCCCCTCCAAAAAAAATATAAAAAATATATGTGACAGTGCATGGACTTAAGCTAACAAATCCAAAATTATACCTCTCAAAGCCAAAAATTCAATGAGATATGGCCATTTGAAATTAGGGTACTGAAACAGATCATAAATTCAGCAATTTTTTTCAGGTTTTCGTGTGCTTTAAACTCACATTTCTAATTTTGTAATCTAAGACAACTTTCGGTGTAGGTTATGGATTTAGCATCACACGCAATGTGCGATTCACACAGTTTGTGCCACCAGGTGGCAAAATGTGGAACACAAATGAACCATTCACTTTTTTTTTCAGGATTTCCACAGCCACCGGCAAAGTCACTATTGCATACACAACCTCCAAAATTGGCATAGTTAATGTCAGTTTGTTTTTTATCAATTTACAAAAAATTGGCATAGTTAATGTCAGTTTGTTTTTTATCAATTTACAAAAAATTCTGAGTCGATGGGATATATACTTTTCCAAATATTCAGTCTCGAAATTCAATACCCATTTTCACCTTCAATTTTGGCCATGTGGGACAGAGGTTAAAATTCTAAAAAGTTTGAGAATGAAACTTCAATAACCCTACTATAACATACATAAAAGTCAATCTTGTGTATTTGATGGCTTATATTTTTAATTGGCACTTGAAATCTGTGCGGTGATGAAATTTTAATGGCTATCATCAAAATTGTTGACTTTTCATGTTGATTTTAAAATTACGTCTAAATGACCAATACCCCTCAAACGTGTCTATGTAGAGTAAATGTTTGCGTAGATTACGAATATGCAATCATTTTGGATCTACATTGTATTGTTCTTATTTTTATTTGGCCTCCCAAATGAGAAAAAAATGTTATTCCGCTTTACAAATTGGAATATTGGACTTTGACGGTCAGATTAAAATTACTTCTGAAAGACTTGGGCCCCTCATAATTGTCATTTTAGAGCAACTTATAATGTAGAATAAGAATAAAGACTCATTTGGCTACAGGGAGTATTGCCCAACCCAGGTCAGAGCCACACCCATTTTTTCTTGGTGTGTGTGGGTTTTTTTTGTCTACAGGCCGCAATTCTTAATGGATTGTCTTGAAAACTATTCATATATATTCCTTGTACCCAAAGGATGACTGTTACTATTTTTGGTGCATGCCCGACCCCCAGGGGCACAGCAACACCAGATTTAAGTGTTATCGTCCACAGGCTGCAATTCTGAACTTTTGCTGCATGCCCGCCCCTGTCACCCTCCAGGAAGAGCCATTCAGGATTGGGGCCCCTAGGCGATAAACATAAAAATGGATGTTGCTATGCCCCTGGGGGTCGGGCATGCACCAAAAATAATAGCGGTCATCCTAAAGGTATAAGGGATAAGTATGAAAAGTTTTCAAGATGATCAAAGCACAATGACACACAAAGAAAAAATAGGCGAGGCTCTGCCCCTGGGGGCTGGTCATGTACAAAAAACAACAGCGATCATTCTTAGGGTATAAGGAATAAGTATGCACAATTTCAAGACAATCCATTAAGAATCGTGGCTTGTAGGCGACAAACTGACACATGCAAAAATTGAGCGTGGCTCTCTGCCCCTGGAGGTCTAGAACGCACCAAAAACAATAGGGAGCATCCTTAGTGTATAAGGAAAAACTAGTATACATAGTTTCAAGACGATGCGTTAAAAATTGTGGCTTGTAGTTTTGAGGCGTCTAGAGATAGTGAAACTACATAAGTCCGTACTTCAACTTTCTAAGCGGACAAAACACGTTTTCACCTGGTTTTAAAGCAAAACTAAATTGAAACATACTCCCTGGATCACAAAAGAGTCTTTACTCTTATTCTATGTTAAGAGTTGATCTAAAATGACAAATATGAGGGGTCTAAGTCTTTCAGAAATAATTTTAATCTGATCATCAAAACCCATTATTCCAATTTGTGAAGCGTATTAACCATTTTGTTCACATTTTGGAGGCAAAATAAAATTGGAACAATACAATGTACATCCAAAATGATTACATATTTGTAATCTACGTAAAACGTCACTATAAATAGACATGTTTGAGGGGTATAGGTCATTTAGAAATTATTTTAATATCAACGTGAAAAGTCAACAATTTGGATAACAGCCATTAAAACTTCATTACCGCACAGATTTCAAATGCCAATTAAAGATATAAGCCATCAAATGCACAAGATGGACTTTAATGTATGTTATAGTAGGGTATTTGAAGTTTTATTATCAATTTTTTTCAGAATTTTAACCTCTGTCCCACATGGCCAAAATTTGAGGTGAAAATGGGTATATTTTGTATGTTTTCAGTGTGCAATGAATTTCGAGACTGAATATTTGGAAAAGTATATATCCCATCGACTTAGAATCTTTTGTAAATTTATATAAGACAAACTGGCATTAACTATGCCAATTATGGAGTTCGTGTATACAATAGTGACTTTGCCAGAGGCTGTGGAAATCCTGAAAATAAAAGTAAATAGTTCATTTTGGAGGCAAAATAAAATTAGAACAATACAATGTACATCCAAATTGATTACATATTTGTAATTTACACAAAAAAGTCACTCTAAATAGACACGTTTGAAGGGTATTGGTCATTTAGAAGTTATTTTAAAATCAACCTGAAAAGTCAACAATTTGGATAACAGCCATTAAAACTTCATCACCGCACAGATTTCAAGTGCCAATTAAAAATATAAGCCATCAAATACACAAGTTTTACTTTAATGTATGTTATAGTAGGGTATTTGAAGTTTTATTATCAAACTTTTTCAGAATTTTAACCTCTGTCCCACATGGCCAAAATTTAAGGTAAAATGGGTACATTTTGTACGTTTTCAGTGTGCATTGAATTTCGAGACTGAATATTTGGAAAGGTATATATATCCCTTTGACTTAGAATCTTTTGTAAATTGATAGAAGACAAACTGACTTTAACTGTGCCAATTTTGCAGTTTATGTATACAATAGTGACTTTGCCAGAGGATGTGGAAATCCTGAAAATAAAAGTGAATAGTTGGGGAAA